CTTTCTCTCTCTCTCTCTCTCTCTCTCTCTCTCTCTCTCTCTCTCTATAAATAAATAAATATATATATATATTTTTTTTAATTTATATATTTATATAAGATTTATTATATCATTATATTTATATAAGATGATATATATAATATTTATAATATGATATATTTATAAGATGATATATATAATATATATAATATTTTTATATAATTATATATAAAATCATTATATTTATCCTCCTTCTGCTTATCACCGTATGATCTATTCATTTGTGATAAGAACGTATGGAAGTAGAATGGACACGAACAAAATGACTTTACCGTTACCGCTGAAGGGAGCATGTATAGATGTAGTTTGAGGCACTTTGTCAGAGGGCGCGTCTTCTGAAACCCTTACGGAATAACTCTCAGATTTCTCTCTGATTCTAATCTTTCTAGAAATATGCGCCGAGAGTCTAGAGATGGCGTGGCTACACTCAGAAAGTATTCGATTCACCTAGTTCTTTATTCTGTAGTGTACCTGAGTGCATAGTGGACGTGCTGCAATGGCAGGTTCTATAGAGATACCACTCAGGGATACAGATGAGGTAAATATTTCTTTCCTTTGGCTCACATTTTTATTGTACAAATAGCGTAAAAAGATTTTGGTAATAAGGAAAATGTGTTGTACGCAAATTCTGCAAAAATAAAATCCTCACGTCGGCTGAGTGGCGTGTGCTGCAAACCTAACCTATATGACTCGTTGACTTCTTGTGACAACAGATTTTAATATTATATGGAATAATATTTCATTAATAATATATAAATTCAATGTGAAATATATGATGTTTGCAAATTGATACGAATCAACTAATCTGTTATACTTCGAAGATTTAATGAATTATTAATTTAGCATTATATTAAGTAGTAGAGAGTCACTTCGTTGTTTAATATACAAGTACTTCGTGGTGTTTTATCATATAAATTTATAGGTTATAGAACTTTATTCGGACATATAAACTTACAGGTTATAGAACTTTATTTGGATCAATTACCTGATGGAGATGAGGTACTTGGAATTCTGCGGCAGGAACATGCTCAGCTTACTATCTGGGTCAATTTGGCCGTACGTAAAATAGACAATTTTAATTGAAAGAAGATATATATGCAATAGTATGCATTTGGTTAATTTTCCTTCTTTGTATTTCAGCTTGAATATTACAAACAGCAGAAGATTGAAGACTTTATTAAGATACTTGAATCTTCTCGCATTGATGCAAATATTGACTATCGTGACTATGAGAAAGATCAGATGCGAGCTCTTGACATGTTGGCTGCCTATTATGTTCAGGAAGCCAACAGGGAAAAGAATAAGGACAAGAAGAGAGATCTCTTCACAAAAGCCACGTTGTTATACACAACAGCTGACAAGATCATCATGTATGACCAAGTATGTATTACATATATACATATATATATATATATATATATATAAAATAGANATATATATATATATATATATATATATATATATATATGTCTTTTATACACCAAATCTAAAAAGTTTCCTTATTCTATATTCATTTTTTAAAATTATAGAATCACTTACTTGGACGAGCTTATTTCTGCCTGCTTGAAGGTGACAAAATGGAACAGGCTGATGCACAATTTAACTTTGTGCTGAATCAATCACCCAATAATATACCTTCTCTTCTCGGCAAAGCTTGCATTGCTTTCAACAAGAAAGACTACAGAGGCGCTCTTGCGTTCTATAAGAAAGCTCTCAGAACTAATCCAAATTGTCCGGCTGCTGTTAGATTGGGAATGGGCCACTGTTTTATGAAATTGAACAATCAGGAGAAAGCACGGTTAGCATTCGAAAGAGCTTTACAATTGGATGGACAATGTGTCGGTGCGTTAGTCGGTCTTTCGGTTTTGAAATTAAATCAACAACAGCCGGACAGCATAAGAACTGGCGTGCAAATGTTGTCGAAGGCGTACACGATCGATTCGACAAATCCAATGGTATTGAATCACTTGGCGAATCATTTCTTCTTCAAGAAGGATTACAATAAGGTTCAGCATTTAGCTCTGCATGCTTTCCACAATACGGAAAACGAAGCCATGCGAGCGGAAAGTTGTTACCAATTGGCCAGAGCATTTCATGTTCAGGTGAGTCTCCCAAATATTAGTGTGCTCTCGAGAGACTATTCTCATTGTTACATAGAATATTCACAAGGATAAACAGTCGAATTCCGGGTCGCTGATTAAGTAAAATTATTTCAGGGTGATTATGATCAAGCATTTCAATATTACTACCAGGCGACACAGTTTGCGCCGCCTGTATTCGTGTTACCACATTTTGGCTTAGGACAAATGTACGTTTATCGCGGTGACGCCGAGAATGTAAGTACCCTATTACGTGTTATTTGAAGCTAACTGTTCATTTCTTGAGGAACATGTAAAGCAGTAATATATTTCGACAAAAGGCAGCGCAGTGCTTCGAGAAAGTTCTGAAGGCCCAACCGGGAAATTATGAGACCATGAAGATCCTGGGCTCGCTCTACGCTAACTCGAGTTCTCAGTCGAAACGTGACATCGCCAAGAATCACTTGCGGAAGGTGACGGAGCAATTTCCCGACGACGTCGAAGCCTGGATCGAGCTGGCTCAGATACTGGAGCAAAGCGACCTGAATGCAGCCTTGAACGCTTACGGTACCGCGACGAGGATTTTAAAGGAGAAGGTTCAGGCGGATATCCCGCCGGAAATTCTAAACAACGTAGGAGCGTTGCATTACAGGTGTGTATTTATATCTATTGAACTCGTCTCGCCAAGGAAGGTGGAGAAGTTGCGTGTGCACAAATGCCTATGCTTTTTATCCTTCAGACTCGGTAATTTGGAAGAAGCCAGGAAAAACTTGGAGGAGTCTCTGGCGCGCTCGAAAGCGGACGCTCTGCACGATTCAGTATATTATAATTCGATATCAGTTACGACTACGTACAATTTGGCGCGGCTGAACGAGGCATTGTGCATATTCGACAGAGCGGAAAAATTGTACAAAGATATCTTGAAGGAGCATCCGAATTACGTGGACTGTTACCTGAGACTCGGCTGCATGGCCAGAGACAAAGGGCAGATTTACGAGGCGTCCGATTGGTTCAAGGACGCCTTGAGAATCAATAATGAGCATCCGGATGCGTGGTCATTGCTGGGCAATTTGCACCTCGCCAAAATGGAGTGGGGCCCCGGTCAAAAGAAATTCGAGAGGATTCTCAAGAACCCGTCGACGAGTACGGATGCTTACTCTCTGATTGCCTTGGGCAATATTTGGCTGCAGACGCTGCATCAGAGCGGAAAGGACAAGGAAAGGGAGAAGAGACATCAGGATCGGGCATTAGCCATGTACAAGCAGGTAATTCGACGGGACATCGCGCGTTGTTAGAGTTGAAACGCTCATATGCAATTATCTAATCAATACGATATATTACGTTAGGTTCTGAGGAACGATCCGAAGAATATCTGGGCTGCGAACGGCATCGGCGCGGTGCTCGCGCATAAAGGCTGCGTGAACGAAGCCCGAGATATATTCGCTCAGGTGCGCGAGGCGACCGCGGAATTTTGCGACGTCTGGCTGAACATCGCGCACATCTACGTGGAGCAGAAACAATTCGTCAGCGCGATTCAAATGGTAAATGACGGCGAAAATTCGCACGAAGAACGCGCGTTTCTAGGGATTTGGGATTTCAACTAACACTTTATGTTGCAGTATGAGAATTGCTTGCGCAAGTTCTACAGATATCACCACGTTGAGGTCCTGCAATATCTTGGGAGAGCTTACTTCAAAGCCGGCAAGCTGAAAGAAGCGAAACTGACGTTGTTGAAAGTAATTAGCCATACGTGAATTCTTTTCTTGATTATTTAACCTTTATCACATAAATCACTCGATGTACTTCTAGGCGCGCCGGGTAGCCCCGCAAGACACAGTTTTACTGTACAACATCGCTCTTGTACTTCAACGACTAGCCACGCAGATCCTTAAAGACGAGAAGTCGACTTTGACCACCGTGCTTCAGGCGGTTCATGAATTGGGCCTTTCGCACAAATATTTCCAATATTTGTCGGCACATGGCGATAGGATGGAGCAGTTGGCCGATGCTGAAGCCAGAAGGTGCCAAGATTTGCTGTCGCAAGCGCAGTATCATGTCGCCAGGGCGAGACGACTGGACGAGGAAGAGAAGATGCTGAGACGGAAGCAAGAAGAGGAAAGGTATGTCGCGCTTCCGGCCGATTTCGTAATGTACATCTAAATTTCGCGAGGTGAACTTATGATGAAATCCTCACGCTCGCAGACAAGCCTTCAAAATGCGTCAGACGGAAGAGCAACGCAAGTTGGAGGAGATGCGCCGTCAGAAGGAAGAGGAGATGTTGCAGAAGCGACAAGAGTACGTGGAGAAGACCAAGAATGCATTGGTGTTCGGGGAAATGCCGTCGGAGAAGCCGGGAAAGAAAGGCAAGAGGGTTCGAACTGATCAGTATATCAGCGATAGCGGAGGTTCGGGCGGGGACGAAGGCAGAGATGAAGCGCCGAGAGAACGGAAGCGCAGGAGGAAGGCGAGCGGTGAGACTAAAGAGAGAAAGAGCAAGGGCAAACGCCGGCGCAGGAAGGATGCCGGGAGCGGCGAAAGTGGTGAGAAAAATTTACCTTCACTTCGTTCGATAAACTTCATTTTCATTTCAACGATTGTATGCGTGTGAATTTAGATTTACACATGAATTATTCGGTACAAGTAATATAATTTAATTAAATTATTTAGTTATTCAATTCAATCAACGGGAATGAGACTTTTTGGTGATTTAAGAACGGAGGAAATTATGCAACATTAATTCCAATACATAGATCGAATTGCATATAATCAAATTTTTTTGGGGGGAATTTAATTTAATGAGGGAACAGATCAAGTTATGTTTAAACAAAAATTCAAGGAGTTCTTGGAAAAGTCAAGAGACCCCGAGTAGCTATTCGCCAATATGCAAATTCTATTCATGCAATTAAATATACCACACGTTATCCGATGATACTCAATATAAAATATATCGGACGAAACAATCTGGATGACACATGAAGTATGAATAATGTTTGGAATTACGAGATTCCGTCGTAGTAAATTTGAAAGCATGATTCTACGTACATTCGTGGTTTTATGTATTTTTGCGCGAATAAGGGCGGGATATAGAACCTCTGTGTTCGATATGGACTGAGCGAGCGCGGTGTTGTCGTTCAGCAATAAAGCTGTTATTGAAGCAACTGATGTATGTTGCGTTGATACAGTTCACAGCCAATGTTCCGACGAGAGAACTTGTTTCAGAATAATTCAGAAGTTAAGTCTCTCTCATTGGACACCTGTTACATCTCGGACTTCGTCCAAAAAAGTGTTCAAGCCTTGTTGAAATCAAGTCTAGTACATGATCTGTTAGAATTGATAAAACTGCGAATGATTGGTTAGAATTGATTGCCAACTCGGCTAGATGTGCGTAGCTGATTGGTCGCCCGCCGGACGCTTGACTGCTCGTTTGTGTCCTGGCTTCGATCCTACAGACCTGTTGGGTCCGAATAGCGTATCTGTCCGACGTTTAAACTTACGTGTTTTCGCAAACGTCTGTTTCGCAGGGTCGGACAGCGATCGTCCGAAGCTTAAGCGCGGCAGGAAGACCGGTAGAAAGGGAGATAAGTCTCGGAAAGGCACGCACGAGACTCTCAAGGGTAAAATGCCGCTGTCAAAGGAAACTATCTCTACCAGCGAGTCGGATAGTGATGCAAGTGGCCTTAAAATTGCCAGCGGGTAAGTGCACTTGTGACAGTGATGCGTTATCCTAATATTACGATTATCTTCTCAGTCTTACAGTTTCCGACAAATCTGATTTGACTCCTCTCTCTACGAGTTATCGTACATATTTATTTCGCGTTTCTAGATTACGTGGATGGAACAAAAATGTTCCAAGTGCAAGGTTGACAAAATCGAAGTTACCTTGGCTTGGTTGAGATTTCTCTAACTAGAGATTCGTCATTTTTAACAGGGGGGAAAGCGGCAACGAGAATCAACCGCGCAGCAGCAGGCGAATCGCCTCGGACTCGGAAGGCTCTCGCGCTTCTCGTTCGAGATCTCGTTCGAGATCGAAATCCGGAAGCCGTTCGAGAAGCAGCTCCCGCTCTGCCTCTCATTCGCGGTCTCGATCGCGATCTCGATCTGGATCTGGATCCAGGTCTAGAAGCGTCTCGAGGTCCAGGAGCCGTTCTGCGTCCGGGTCAAGATCGGGATCTGCCAAAAGTAGATCACGGTCGAGGTCGGGCTCGCGAAAAAGCGGCTCGCGGTCAAGGTCGAACAGCGGCTCGAGGAAGAGCGGATCGAAGGCGAGATCAAGGTCGAGCTCGAGGAAGAGCGGCTCTAGGTCGAGGTCCCCGAGCGGCTCGAGGAAGGCCGCGTCTCGATCGAGGTCGCCGAGCGGTTCAAGGAAAGCCGCGTCTCGGTCAAGGTCCAGGTCGAAATCGAGATCCAGATCCAAAAGCGGCTCACGCTCAGGCTCGGAGGAACGCCGGTCCCGAAGCAAAAGCCGATCACGATCCAAGTCGAAGTCCGTGTCGAGGTCCAAGTCGAGATCTAAGAGCCCCAGCACATCACGATCGCGCTCCAGGTCTAAGAGCGGCTCCAGAAGCAGGAGTCCCAGCGGTTCGGCACGGTAAGCTTTCCTCCACGCATTGCTAATTAAGATTTGTATGCAATTTATTTTTCACCGGGACTTGTCTCTAGCCGAAATTGCTAATAACATATTGCTTCTCTTCGTAGCTCCGCGTCACCGGTATCTAGGAAATCGGTGTCGGGCAGCGGTGACAGCGACAGCGAATAAGATAGGAGTTCTCGCAATTTTAAGCACGTACGTTGGAGAGAAATCAGGATTGTTCTTGCGCGCGGAGCGTAGAACATATAATTTTTTATAAAAATTATTCCACGGTTATTTCTAGTTCAGATCACACACACGTAATTTGAGGGTAATATGAAAATAATACATAAATTTTAATATGAATCGTATATATATATATATATACAACTCTTTTCCGGAAGTATCGGTTCCGTTCTTTTGTAATTTATCATGGCCAACAAAATTGAATAGGTAGTTTCGCCGAGGCGAAAGAACATTTTAAATTTAATCAGTTATGTAACATGTGATGGTTTAACATTATATTAATAACATATTAATCATATTGCATGAAACATCATCGATTTACTCCGGTCACCGAAGATGTTGTGTATCATAAGACAAATAGATTTTGTTCTCTACCGTTTTCCCCTAGTTAGCAGTGAAACGGCAATTTCTGGCGTGTATTAGATATTACATAATTATATTAATATTATATATATATATATATCTTATATTCTCTCGTTATATATGGCGAGTCTGAGGTGAAGATTATATCTATAACAAAATGAATTGTTTTATATCACAGTACGAGCAGTGCTAATAAAACAACGAAATCACACGGCATTTGGTGGCATTTTCTTCGACTCTTCAGTCACCTCGCAAAGCTAAAGATAAAGATAGTACGGTCAGAGACGGTCGGCGTTCCCCAGAATCGAACACGCGCACGTCGTTGTGCAAATATGACGAGAGAGACCGTCGTCCGGTGCTACGACGTACCAGAGTAGTCCGCTTATCGATCTCGCAGACGATGTAAAATCAATTATTAAAGCATAACTTTCGAGGTGAGTGACACGCATGCGGTTACTCTGCGTTGCGGCTTAACGACGGCAATCCGTCGATTTCCGCTCGGCTTTCATTTTCTTACCTCTATTCGCGCGCGACGCGGACTGCTTATTTCGACCCGTCCGCGCCTCTATCGATCTTTCCGCATTTTCTCGGCAGCCCGCCGCTTTTTACCGTCTAGTTCGTCGCCGTAGCTGAATGTGAATCGCGGAGAAACCACCCTGAGGGGGAAATACAATCGGTGTCATGCACGCTGTACTATTCCCTAGACGGAGAGTTGTACGATTTTCAGCTTTGCAGCGTAAAGCGTAAGGTTGAAAACCGCGGAAGCAACTCCAGTTAATTAGATTGGTAGGATTAAAATCCCAAATAGCAAAATGACGTCGTATCGACGGTAATATTACGTCTGTAACGTCAATGTAATGTCTTCTGACATCACTCTGCTACTTGGGACGGCTCTGATTGCAATAGTTTCGACTTTATATATACATATGGAAGGACTTAAAAATCTCTCAATGGTGAAAGTTCGATTTAGGGAATGGTATACACGACGCCGATTATGTGCAGCGACGTCGCGCAGAATTACGTTTAATTGTAAGCGCGAGCAAGAGAGAGTACGAATGAAATCTCGTTAAAAGCGTCGCGCTATTACGCGCTCGCGGGAGATAACGAGTCCGGATCGCGAACAATTCCCCCCGCAGTAATATTATATTCCGATCGTTTTTCGCTAACATGCTAATGTTTGCTCGCACGCGAAACCGGCCCGGCTTCCGTGCGGCAAAATCGTTCCCTACGCGCCAGGGCGCACACCAACTACGCAATAATTTCATTACGAACGTTACACGAATAATAAGGTCTTTGTAGAAAACGGATTAACCGCGCTTTCGTCGTCGGCGCTCGAGCGTAAAATTATAGCTTAATTGTAATCATATTTCCCTCCCTCCCATCCTAATCAGGTTCTCTCGCTCTCTCTCTCTCTCTCTCTCTCGTCCGCTTTTGTTGTCCGTGCGCGCATTTAATCATCTTACCGCACGTTGATTAATACGCGCGCCGCGGACGAAATCCGTGTCGTGCGGCACAGTGGCTGATTATTGGGACTCTCGTTGCTCTGTGATTTTCTCATGACCTCTCGTGACTCTTCCCATCCATCGTGTCATTCCTGTTATCGCCGGTGTTCAACTCTAACGTGCCCGCTCGAAGTTTATCATACGGCAGCCTAGTTCTATCGCGCGTCTATAAGGTCTGATAACTTCCTCCTGTCAAGTATGTGTGTGTGTGTGTGTAAGTGCGTGTACATAGCATTATATACTGCTGATATTCCGCGCGGCGTACCTATCCTTTCTGAGACAGCGTAAATAAGATATTTGGCGCTCGGCGTGTGTCATCATTCCTCGTTATCGATTGCGTCCGGCGGAAATGCAAAGCGCTCAGCGGGCGAATTTTGAAAGAGCTTCGGTCGAAATACCGCAGCAGGCAGTATCGAACGAAGCCGAATAGAAATGTACCCAGCCGGCCCGACTCAAAAGCTAACTGGTACAGGCTAGATTAAATTTTCAAACTCATTGTTAGTTCGTTGCCGACTGATTATTCACTGAAATGTAGAATCGACTTTATGATCCTGCCGTTGCCTCCTGGTCGTCATGTATCAAATATGAAAGGGTAGTTAACGCTCTGTCTATTCTGAAATATATAATTCAGCTACTGTACACTCGCTATTAGCACTAGAAAATGAAAATTGAGGATGCGTTATTCCTTAAAAAAATTTAAACGGCGGAAACGAGCGTTATATTATTGTTTGACGACTTAAGTTACGATATTGTATCTCGTAATTGCAATTTCATTTGCTTCACCATCAACCGATTTATTTATCTTGCTATTATGTAGCCATTAAGAGTGGTGGGCGTTGCATTACTGGCTAGTAGCGACGTTAGACAAATTTGCTACCTCGCGGTTAGACACGAGGTCCAATTTCTACCAAGGAATTTATAGGCGCGTACGTATCGCTTTGACAAACATCTTCCCAAATGACTTTTATATTTTTTATAGGTACATATTGCGAGAGCACGTCGATCGCTTTTTCGTTTGTTATTTTCCCATATTCACCACTACCGTCGCGAAACTTCTCCCGCGGGACTTTCCCCTCTTCCCGAATTTTATTCGATCGGAGTGTTCATTTCACCCGACCGGCCCGGGATCCTTTATTTCTGGATGAAATTTCGGAATAGGTGCGTCCCATCGCGAACGTTTTAATCCCAATGGTATATAAAGCCCAATAAATCTAGCGTGGCGCGGCACATGCAAGATTTCATCCCATACATAAGTAATAATGTCATCAGCTGAAGCGCACGGAAGAGCGAATCCTCGAAGCCAAATTTCCCACGAGTAATTTTCACCTGGCCGTTCATCAACGGTGGTTCATCACGCGCGCATTGTTCTTAGTTCATCGCTCGAGTTTGACGACATCTCGTTCGCGTTCGCGTCATATATATTATTAACACCCCAGCCAGAAATGGAAAGTCGAATTGACATCGATTGTAACGGTCTGTCGACGATCGAAATTTGTAGTCGACTCAATTTAAATACGGGCTTAATTGTTCATCAGTCATCGACATCAGTTAATTACAAAATGTAATCATGTAATTACAAAATATTGCTCCTAACAAAATTACGTTGATAAAACGAGATAAAACGAACTGATGTTAGATTATTTTGTTTAAATGAAAGAAGACTGCCATTTTATCTTTTGCATCTTCTCATCACGTATTAATTCCCTCCATGGTTTCGATCTTGAAGCAATATTTATAACTCTAAAAACAATATCTATTATAACGTGTTATAAGTTGTAAGGTCGAAAATGACAAAAATATTCGACATCAACCATTCATCCACGCATCGATGGTCAAATCAACGTCTACTCGACTTTTCATTTCTGCCTGGGACGTTGAGTGCTACGCCAATTTCACGTGACTTTCCATTCATGTTATGTGGGCCCACTGATGGCTCACACGTTACCGCATTTATTATAAAATATATCTATAATGTTTATTTAGAAGAAAAGGTAACGTATAATATATACACTATGCAGCTTAAACGGAAAGTCCAACGTGGACTACCGGCGATCCACGTGGCCTTCAATGTGTTATACATTATCAGTAAATAATATATATAATTATTTACACACAGACATATACTAAATATATCGTTTAATATTTCATATTCCAAGCACTGTTGATCTTTCGTTTAAAACGCACAATTTGAAAATAATGATGCAGGATGGAATTGCTACGTTTACTCTATACGTGACTCAAGTATTTCCCACAGATCTTTTTTCCTCTAAACGACGCGAAGTACCACGGGAATCCCGCGAAATTATGGTGCCAGTTTTGAAAATCAGCGGATTCGGATTCGGCTTTCCAAGGATATACCGTCTATTAGAATCTCCGTTCCTTATTGCCGCGACCGCTTAAGTTCATGAGGACAATCTTTGTCAAACTATATACATACAACGTATATCCGTGAGGAAAACTTGAGCCTGATATACAAGAGGATCCAAGTCGGCGAAGAAGATGAAGATATTAGGAAAGAGGGTGCGAGACCCAGCTCTTTGTGCTACCGGCCTATCGAGAGCTCCGACCGTTTGCCACTTCGATCCACCAGCGCGCAGTGTGGATTTATTTTCTGCTTGAGTTCGCTCCCTCTTTCAACCGTTCGCCAACATTGTCGAATTCGTCGAGCGGTTCCAGCATTTGTTGTCTTAAGTTATCCAGCCATTTTTTTTATAATTCCCCGTGATATTTTTAATTAAGTTAGTTCGACGTTCATGAAGAGGTTCTTGTGGGACATAATCAGAGTTCCGATGTTCGTCGTTCAAAGACGTCGTTGGCTTTGATTTAACGTTTAATTAAGAGTCAACCTTTTAATTGATCGGTTTACCATATTGAATGAAAAAGTAGGACTTGAATTGGTTGCATATTTTAATTAATTTTCCGACTGATCGATCATATTGCAAGCGGCAAAAAAGTCCTAGGACATTTCTAAAAAGGTATACGAATAGTAGAAGTACATGTAATTTTTGTCTCTCTTTCGGCATTTTGCTGCTTTCTTTCGAGAGGTACGAAGAATGAATAAATTGCCTTAGAGGAGGCTACTGGGCTTTTTAACGATGTTTTCAACTTTAACTGTCTTCGCATCTTGCGATGATTATGTAGAATTGCACGAAAGCAATCATTCATCGAAATAGGATAGCTGCCTAACTTTACTCCTCACTAGATTGGAGTTTAATTAGTTCCGCAACTTAGTACTACAGAATTATGCGTAGCCACAGGTACGTCAAAGCCAATGAGTTATTATTTGTTCTATTTCAGGGTTTCCTGTAAATTGTTGACTTGCGGCTTTCGTTTTCTCTCCGCGCCAACATTTTCAAACACATTGCGTAACATCACAATGTAATAACTTGGAAATTTCGGTTTTGCGGTTTTAAACCTTACATATTTAAACATCTGTATGATTTATCTACATGATTTACAGTATATGGTTTTTCGCACATTTTCAGGATATATTGTACTCATTATATTATGTTTATTTTGTAATATAAATATATTTTATAAGTAACATTCGCATTTTCTACAAAGATGATTAAAATCTTTTAGTTAATGAGAATGGAAAGCATAAATTCCTTATGAATAGTATAAATTGTTTTATGTGCTGCGTCGTACATTAATTGATTTCTTTGGATTACTAATTCATAAATATGCGTTATGTATAATTCTCATTTTGATTTTTTGTTTTGGGGTGCCCGCTTAATAGAAGTGCTTGACATTACTTTGATAAGCCGAGGGATTCTGGATTGTAGGTCGAGCTATGTTTCAACTTAGCAAAAATTGCGAACGCTATTGCAGACGTTATTGCGAACGCCGGCATTTGAGGCTCGAGTGCTTCCATTTGAATCGCGCGTGTCAATGAATCTTCAGATTAATTATTGTTATTGCTCGCCATTTGTCATACTTGTCCTACGTTGGATTCTCATTACGTTGAGAGTCGTGAGCCATTATCGTGTCGTTATGAAAACGTTACCGAACATCGTTACCTTTACTGATTCAGGGAGTAACATTTAAACAAAAGTGGGCATTTCGAGATATTAAAAATGCTTATCGTAGAGTCTCAATATAATTAATAGTAGTGATAAAATAAGTGCATTTT